ACAAGTGTACTTTATAGCTTGTAAATTGTCGTTGTGATTGAGGTTGGATTGATATGAATATTGGTGTTGAGTTTGGATGAAAAAGTAAAGAAAATAAGGGGAAGTGCTGATGAAATTTTTACTACTTCCTTTCTTGTGAAATAAGTGATATAAGAGAGATGATTCTGGGTTGGTTAGACTTAGGTTACACGTGATTGCTTGAGTTCATTTTGATGGTGGTGTATAAGGTGAAATTTTGACAAAACCATGTGTAAAGCAAGAGGAAAAGTAATGGTTCTTCTATCATGCTCTTTAGTTTCGTTTGCCCAATTTTAAACTCAAGGTTGGTTGTTTTTCTTCCAAAAGTTGTGTGTATATCTTAAGTATATTTTGCTAAATTTCATGACTTATAAATATCTAAATTTTCCTCTTTTGGTCTCTTTCATATTTTGAGTCTAAGTGTTCACTTTTCACACCAATAACTTACTTGAATCATTGCCCTAGTATGTACTTGGATTCTCCTTGAATTGCACTTTCAAATTTATCTTTGAACCCTTGTGTTATAAGAGGCCAACTTGGATAGGTGTATGGCCCATAGTTGAATCTAAAATGTGAACTTCGTTCACCTAAGTTTTGGATAGTTAGACCATAAATATCTTTTACCTTAGTTGCTCTTAAGGTTTGGTAGTATTCGAGAGCCACTCGGAGACGAATGTTATCGTTGCACTGCTTTGAACTGGTGAGTGTTTCAACTGTATGTTCCATGCTACTTGTGATTCAAAAATGACTTGTTGCTTGAATTGGCTTATTACCACTTAGGCGAGTGTGTACTTTATCGTACTCTACCTAACTTAACTGAATTCTTGATATCTTATTTACAAGTGAATTGATGTGAGTGCCAAGTGCATGTTTCTGGTATCTTGATTTGAATGATACCACGTGTTATGTGTTGAACATTGAACTTGATGAAGCGAGGGTATACTTTATCACACTCGTCCTCCCCTTCTTGAATGATCCTGTACTTGCTTGAATTTGATTGACCTGTACTTGTGTTTGCGCTTGTGCTTGACTTGTAAGTGTTGAGCGGCAGCATGTACCACACTCAATTCGAGTGAGAGTTGCCTCTCATTTCCGTCTCAGTACTTCTATCTTGATTAAATCGATTGAAGAGTTATCTCGTCGACCATACTTGTTCTTACTTGGGTATACTCGAGTATTACTACCTCTGTTACCATCTCTGTTATCTTGTTGTTCGAGCCCGATAGGGGGTTGATCGGTGGACAGAGATTGGAGATAAGCGGTATTCTACTAGACTTGTTACTATATTTCAAATGTCAACGGACTTGGAAGATGTTACTGTGAAATTGGCTGCAAGTGGAACACTGTATAGGACTAAGTGCTACGCTTGAAATCTAGCGGGTGCACATCAGCTGTATCAATGTTTGAATCCTGGGTGGGCGCTCTGCCCAGAACCTGGTGGAAGCCACCGTATCGGTAACATATCCTTCCTTGCTGGTGCAAAATTGCTTATTTGAATGTTTGAGCTGTTAATGACTCTGTTTGTAACTGTTTACTATTTTCGTTCTAAGATTTTGAGATATATGAAAGATATTTTGCCAATTTGACTGCATGTTTTCTTGGAATCTCGCTGAACTTCTAGCTCATCTCTTTATTTGTTTTCCTTAACAGGGTACGGGATGAGAGAGACAAGAATAGTACTAATTGTATTAGGAATTTTAAACTTGTATTTGGCCGATACTGTATTATAGTACTAGTTATTCAAGTTCTTAGCTTTCGGCTTGTACTTTGGTTTGTATATTCGGATGATTTGTAGCGTGTTCGTGTTATTTTGAAGAATTATAGTGCTATTGATTTGGCATCCAAAGAATAGTGAGCTCAAAAGTTGTAGCCCTCATTTTAAGTAATTGCCATCTTATTTATATTTGGTGAGGTGATTGAGTTATTTGTATTTTGATCTGTTTCATTGTACACCTAAGTATGAATGTTTTGTGAAGTTGGATGGTTGTAATATTTCTCGAAGAATTTTGTCCTTACTTTGCAATTAATGATATCTCTGAAGTTAATGTGAGTGAGTGAGTCCTGACGAGAGTTGGGCAGGCGGTCCGCTGACCCTTGGGGTACGTTCTAACGGAAGGTGGGGCTGTCACAGAACGTGCTAAGGCACGGGCAAAATTCTAGTTGAATTGCTTGGATAGAGATTATTTGCCAAACTTTTTTTGCTCACTGCTATGTGGCATACCTAACTGAGGAGAATTAATGAGTTATGGATCATTTGGATTTTACCCATATTGAATATTATATTATATGTTTAAAAATTATCCCTAATTTTAAAATAATTTTAAAAATAACTAATCTTATCTTATTAATATCCAAAATAACTTTAAAAAATAACTAATCTTATCTTAATGATATCTGCATTCTATCAAATTATCACATAGAACTATAATAAAACCATTTTTAAATCACAATTATTAAAATCTTACATATTTCATAAATTGCTTTCATTCTTTTTTTTTACGCCACCCCTTGTGTTTTATTGACCACCCAAAATGGAAAGAAAGGTACAATGGGTTTAGCATGTGCGCGGAAATAAATAAGTACTTGCTCGTTTACATATATGTGGATGGGTCTTGATGCAAATAAGAAAAAAATACAGTAGGTACCGTCCTATTTTGTAGTGCGAATGTAGGGGAAGCTCGATTTATCTAGAGAGAGAGGAGGCCACGAATGTCAAAGGGGCAGCCGGGAGCATGATAAGTGGATGAAGAGCGCGACGTACTCGCCTGTTTTGTGAGAGAGTCCGCAGCAGCATTCAACTCTCTATAGCAGTGTTGAAGGATGAAGGATCTGGCATTCAGCAAAGCCTTGATTTGGGAGACCACGGAGAAGATGCGCCACATGCATTCAGCCACTCCAGTCGCGACGTTTAGTAGGGTTGAAGAATTGAGTTTCACTATAGCCTGAGTAAGTCCTTGATCCAAACAGAGATGTAAACCTTCGAGGAGCACCATCGCTTCTGTATTCATGTTGGTTTGCCAGCCATAATAGGATGAGAATCCGTGAAGGAAGTCCCCAGAAGCGTTCCTAATTAGTCCCCCTCCCCCGAGTCACCTGGGTTTCCAATTGAAGACTTGTCCACATTAAGTTTCACGTAAGGAGAGGGAAAAGAAATGTACCTGAGAATCATGGTGCACGGTTTGTATGGGTGCTGCAGAAATGGCACAAGATGTAGCCCCAGTACTCTTGTATCCTCTGCCATAGTACATATAAATGTCGTGACTCGGGCGATTAGTTGAAGTCAGTGATAATTTGTTTAACTAGCATTGGTGCGGTAACCACAGTCCCCTTAAAGAAAGCTTTATTCAGGGCTTTCTAGAGCTCCCAAAAAATCAGCGTGGCAACAATCGAGCTATTTCTGCTAGCAGGCTATTGCCCCCATAGCGGACCCACCAACCCTGCAATTTCAGGACAACGTCATCCGCCAGGGAAGGATTTAAATGGAAATTCATTTCAAAGCTCCTCCACACTGACAATGCTTTTTCACAAGTCAAGGAGACATGTTCCAAGGATTCCTCATTCGGACACACGAGACATTTCGAAGGTAGATGAAAGCTGAACCTTCTCAAAATGTCTGGAAATGGGAGCAGAGAGTTCAATAGCCTCCACATGAAAATGGAAACTCGTAGTGGAATACGCTTATCCCAGATCATCCTTCGGAAAAATGTGACAGAGCCCCGGGAGGACAGCTTCTGGATTGTTAAGAAGATGCTCAAATCTCCGTTAGGTGAGGGACACCAAGCTAGCAAATCCTCCCCCTGGGAGAGAGTCAGTCGGGATGATAGTACACCATGCAGCTCGTTGGCCAACGGGACATTTTTGGCTTCCCCTAATCTCCAAGACCCATCAACCAAACCATCCGTAATTCGCATAGTCAGCTGGGGAATATCGGTCTTTTCATCAGCGAGGGGGCCCGTTCCCAACCAATTTTTGAACCAGAAAGAGCTGCTCCCATCCTTGATCAATCTTTGTGAGCTCTCTTCGATAAAATCCCAAATTCGGAGCATGTGCTTCCATGTTTTTGAGCCTCACGAAGTCATTTCCACCTAGGAGATATGATGAGCATAATGCCCATATTTTGCAATCATGAATCCAGCCCAAAGCGTGCAGGTGGTTTGAAGATGCCACCAAAGCCTGCCTCCAAATTCTCTCATCACATCTTCTAGACTCATAAACCCTAAGCCATCCTCCTTCACTAACTTACATAGCTTCTTCCATTCCCTCCAATGTTTCTTGTCTTTTCCCTCTAACTCTCCCCAAAAAAAGGTGGCGAATATGCTCTCCATGTGGCGCAGGACACTTTTTGGGGAACTCCAAAGTGGCCATCATGTATTTAGGAATAGCCAAGAGAACATGCTTGATCAGAATCATAAGACCTCCGGCCGATAAAACTTTATTCCTCCAGCCTACAAGCTTTGACCTTATCTTATCTATTAGATGCTTGAAATGCGTCTTGTGCAACCATTCTTTGGAGGTTGTGCAGCCAAGGTATTGAAAAGCCAGTTGACAAGATCTCATTCCCAACCAGTGGGAAAGCAGCCCTAACCTAGTAGTAGAGCATCTCGAAGATATTACGAAAAAAGTCTTGGCTTTATTAACTCTTTACCATGAGGCCGTTTGGTATAGGTCTAGAAATTCTAGCATGGTTTTGATATCCGCCCATTGTCCCCTCATAAAAATGAGCACATCGGCTTCGTAACTTAGGTGTGTGATTGGGAAGCAGCCCCGTGGTAAACTAAATGGCAAAAGCTTGGCTAATGATAGTAGGCCCTTTAGCCCTGTGGCTCAAAGCCTCTGCAACCAGTAAAAATAAGGAGGAGGAGAAAGGGTCCCCTTGCTTAATCCCCCATGCACTTTGGAAGAAACCAAGCTGTTTACCATTTATCAGTACTGAGAACAATGCTCCTCTAATGTTGTTCATTACCAAGGACGTAAACCAAAGGCTAAAGCCAAATTTGCATAGCAACATGGAAGGCTTTCATTATGTCTACTTTTAGAACCATGTTGTGTCCCCGTACTTTTTTGTCAATCGATCCCAACATCTCCAGGGTCAGGAGAATGTTATCAGATATTTCCTGCCCTTGCACGAAAGCAGATTGTTCAGGGGAGATTAGTTCCAGCATAAGCGGTTTCATTCTAGTGCTTAGGACCTTGGTGAAGATTTTGTTGAAGAAGGTACAAAGGCTTATTGGTCTAAAGTCCGTGAAGGTTGACGGTTGCTCATTTTTTGGGAGTAACACAATTGAGGTGTTGGCAACACCTTTTGGGATGGGGATGTCACAAAAGAAGTCCCTAACCGCCTGCAGCAAGTCCCTAGATATTATTTCCCAGTAGGTAGTGTAAAATAAACCCATGAATCTACCGACTCCCGCTGCACTAATGCTATCTAAAGCAAAAATGGCTTGCTTATTCAACCAACATCACCTCCTGTGTGAGTTCTGCGTTTTGTTGTTGTATGACCCGTGGAGGGATTATAGCCAATAGCTCCTCCATCACCACCTCAGCATTGGATCCTTGATGGACAGAGAGCAAATCTTTGAAGTATTCAACTGCCTCTTGACCGATTGCTGCTTCCTCCTTGAGTAGATATCCATGTGAATCTTTGATCCAGCGAATTGTGAGACGGGCGTACTTGTCCAGCAAGGCAGTATGGAAAAACCGAGTGTTCGACTCTCCCTCCTTCAACCATCGTACCCAAGCTTTTTGTTTCCAAAACGTCTCTTGCCCGCTAAACATTTCAATAGTTTAGTTTGCGCATGACTCCATCGGGACTGGGCTTCATCCGTTCCCTCCTCTTCCATTCGGATCTCACTTAATCTAACTTCTTCTTCTATCGCTGCTACATTCGGATCTCACTAAATCCACTTCTTCTTCGGATCTCACTACCATATTGTTGATTAGTATTTGAATTATTCATCATCTCTTCCCTTAATTTTGAAATAACTTAATGTAAAAAATAGAATAAACTATTACACCGACATATTTACCAATATTGTTGGAAACTAAATAGTTATAGATGACAAAAAGTAGATTGCCAGACCTTTTCTACTTAATTAAATGTGAATATATAGTTCTAAGTTTATGGTCATTATAAAAATTTAAATTATCCAAAATAATATTTATAAAAAAATATCTATCCAAGTTTTTGATATGAAATACATTATTTGATGTATACTATCATATTATAGTAAAAGTATGTAAACAAATTTTTAAAAATTAGTAAATAATTGAACATCTAGAATACATTAATTTTTTAAAGTTAATATGAATGAACATGTAGCATTGTTAATTTTTCATATTTAAAATTTTCATATTTGTATAAATTCCTAATAAATAAAAAAAACCATGCTAAAGCATGGGCAAACTTTAGTATATATATGAAAGTAACTATTTTAATTAGAGTTGTTTCTTACTCCTACGTGACATACCTAATTATAGAGAATTAATGGGTTATAGATCACTTGGGTTTTACCCATATTGAATTCTATTTGGATTACATTATAAGTTTAAAAACTATCTCTAATTTTAAAATAACTTTAAAAAATAACTAGTCTTATCTCAATGATATTGCTTTAAAAAACAACTAAACTTATTTTAATGATTCTTTTTTTTGATCAAACTGTTACATATAGAACTATAGTAAAACCTTTTTTAAAGCACAGTTATTGAAATTTTACATATCCCAAATTACTTCTTTTCACCACTATACTATTGATTAGTATTCAAATTGTTCATTATTTTTGCCTTAATTTTCAATTAACTTAGTGAAAAAAAAGAGAATTAACTGTTACACCGACAGATTTACCAATATTATTAGAAACTAAATATTTATTGATAAAAAAAGTAATTGCTGGATTTTTTCTAATTAATTAAATATAAAATACAGTTCTAGATTTGTGGTCATTATAAAAATTTAAATTATTTGAAGGAATATTCATAAAAAAAGAATATCTACCAAGTTTTTTATATGGGGCACACTGCTATTTGATGTATATTGTCATATTATAGTGAAAGTATGTAAACAAGTTTTTAAAAATTAATAAATAATTGAACATTTAGAATACATGAATTTTTAAAATATATTTAAATTAGAATACATTAATATAGATGAACATGTAGTATTATTGTTAATTTTTGCATTTAAATTATTTATATTTGTTTAAATTCACAATAAATAAAAAAGGACCGTGCCAAGGCATAGGCAAGCATCTAGTTGAATATTGTATTATATGTTTAAAATTATCTCTAATTTTAAAATAATTTTAAAAAATAACTAATCTTATGTTAATGATATCTAAAATAATTTTGAAAATAACTAATCTTGTCTTAATGATATCTACATTCTAGCAAATTATTACATACAATTATAGCAAAACCTTTTTCGAATCACAATTACTAAAATCTTACATATTTCATAAATTACTTCCTTTTCCCTTAATTTTGAATTAATTTAGTGCAAAGTAGAGAATTAACTGTTACACTGATAGAGCTATCAGTATTGTTAGAAACTAAATATTTATTGATGCAAAAAGTAGATTGCTGGATCTTTTCTACTTAATTAAATGTGAATATGTAGTTCTAGGTTTATGGTCATTATAAAAATTTAAATTATCTAAAAGAATATTATAAAAAAGAATAACTACCAAGTTTTTGATATGGGATACATTATTTGATGTATACTATCATATTATAGTAAAAGTGTGAGAACCCGTAATTTTCCATTTTCTCGGTTTTAGAATCTTTCATGGCTTGTTTTCTGCATTTTCGTGCTTATGAAAATTTCTAGATAATTTTAAGGAGCAGACATAATTTTTAGATGATTTTTCTAGTATCGAATAGGTTTTGAGAAATTAAGAGCGTATACCGGACGTAGGACCCACTAGTGCGAAAAGTTCGGAAAAATTCGGCCAACTAGGTTAAGTTTTGGATACTGGAATTAATTTACCGGGTGTTAAGAGATAATTAGAGGAGGCTAAGTGGATTGGTATAAGAGAGACAAGTTAGGTAAGTATTTAATAAAAGGTGACAAGTGTCACCATTTGAGTGGTTTACCTTTAAGACCACTATTCACGGTCTTACCATTTGATTTAAATAAACCAAAAATCATCAAAAATCCTCCATAAGTGGCCGACCCTCTCTTTCTCTCTCTCTTACTCTAAGCACAAGGAAGAAAACTCTTCAAGCTTGCTCCAAATCATCAAAACCAACCATTGAAACTTGCAATTTCTCCATAAAACCTCTTCAATTAGTTTTTGTGAGTTGTTGTGTGAAGTTATTTGGAAAGTTAAGGTGACCAATTGCTCTCTCTCTCTTGTTTTTAAGGTGAGTTGTGAAGAACCACCCTCCTCCCTTAATTGATGCTTAAATCATGCTTAGTGGTAGTATGAGATGCAAGTTTATGGATTATTTCTTGATTTGTGGTTGAAGTGATGAAGTTTTATTATTTTTGGAGATTTTTCTGTTTTAATATAAGCATGATTGTGTGGCTATCTATGATGATTAGAAATGGTATATAATGACTCGAGGAGGTGGAAAAAATGATTAATTGCAACCAATTTCTGGTTTGGAAGAAATTTCAGAAAATTAGGGTTCTAGTGGGAGCATTCTGCCCGAATTTTTAGCTCCTAGTTAGAGGCCAAATTGGCCTTAGCTTAAAACATGAAAGTTGTATGGAATGACATTTTAGAGGTGCCTACAAAATTTCAGGTCAATCGGACTAGTGTAGAATGAGAAAAGTCGAAATTACTATTGCTGTTCTGGTTTTACCCGAATGTAAGAATTGCGCCTGTAATTGGTTGTTTTGGCTAGAATTGCTTCCGAATTGGTTGTTGAGTCCTTCTGATGAAATGTAACCCTGTTTCTTAGCTTTCATATGGTTTTGGAATTTCTGGATTTGGACTTGGAGAGCCTGAGTTATGATGTTTCCGCTAGAATACGTTTTGTGAATCTGTTTTTACGGTTTTGATGTAGTATCTTGCATTTTTTACCTGTTTGCACTCAAAACTGGGTTGAGTGACCTTCTGTGATGTTGTAGCCCTGTATTTTAGCTTCGAATTGGTGTATCGTACACCTTCATCCGATAATCGTAGTGAAATTGGTGCCATTACCGTAAAATGAGGTCAAAAACTGTTTTTTTCCGGGCCAAAGCTAGTTGCATTTCCGAATTTTCTGGTTTCCTCTAATGTTTGTATATGCTTATGGAACCCTATTGGGGTCATGTTTGGCCTTGGTTTATGACTTGTTATCGAGTCTCATTGTACTTGTTTGCATGTTTTAGGGCGTGACGGTGGTGCACAACGTTCTTTTGACGGAAGTGCATGAAACCACATTTGCGAGCTTGGTGAGTGTACTACTCACTTGTATGTTAATATATGGCTTTGATACTTGAACTTGGTGCTTTGAATGTTAATTGCTTAAAGTGAAAGTGTACTTTATCACTCTCACTATGTGCTTTATAGCATTGTTATCATGTGATTGAAATGTTACACGAAGTGTTACTTGAAATGAAAGTACATGGCTTGGTGTCGTTTGGACGAGTATCCAACGACTACAATTGTTATCAATGAGCTCAACTCCATTGGTAGTTGATTGAATCGAGCCGGCGAGGGCTTGGTCGTGCCAATTGATATGCCTTGGGGAAGTGTTATATGGAATCTTGTAGTATGCGAGACTCTCGATTCCGGTTTACTCGAGTAAAACCAAAGTGCAAGTGTTTGGATTTCGGGCCCGGTAGGGATATGTTAGGTGGAAGGAGTGGAAGTAAAGTGGAGTCTACGGTTGGTACTTTTGAACATTGACGGAGAGTCAATGACGTCTGATCAAGAAATGCAAACGAGGAAAGGGCTCTTGAGAGCCATCTGTATCCTTTTATCACTATATTTGACGTGTGCCTTTGCTTATTTTTACTATATTGAATGAAAGCTTGATGCTTATATGCACTTGGGTGCATAAGTGATAGTATCTCACTGGGCAATTAGCTCACACCGTTCCTTTTATTTTCCTTACAGGAATATGACTCTTTTTGGATTGAATCTTGATAGATGGTTGCCGAATGAACTAGATGCATATCTCTTTTGTATTGTATATGAAGTGAAACCCTAAATGTATCTTTAGGGCCGTTTTCACTTTCAATTTGGCAAACCGTGTATATATTAACTTTTGAGAACTTTTGTATGTCACTTTGGATTGTAATTGCTAAAGTTCAAGATGTGAATGTTTGTTTGATATTTGGTTGCGTTCTGACGGGTCGGTTACTATTCATGGCCGACTTCGAATTTCATTTTTTTTTATTTTGGGTTATTTTGCCCTTTTGCTTTGTTTACGCGCGTTATAAGTTCCGGAACGAAAAAGATCGCTCTAAACTGCACCGTTAGTTCTGGCGAGAGTTGGGCAGGCAGTCCGCTAACCCCTTTGGTTCGCCTTAGGGGAAGGTGGGGCTGTCACAAAAAGTATGTAAACAAATTTTTAAAAATTAGTAAATAATTGAACATTTTGAATACATTAATTTTTTAAAGTTAATATGAATGAACATGCAGGATTGTTGTTAATTTTTGTATTTAAATTGTATAAATTCACAATAAATAAAAAAGACTGTGATAAGACACGGGCAAAATTCTAGTTGGATTTGAAAATTGTAGCAATAGAGTGATTTGATACTTCCAATTTGTTCATTTGCTTGCACTATCAACACGCTTTCTAACAACTTTTTTTATTTTACATATATCATATCAAAAAAG